TTATAAACAAAATATAATTTGTATATACATAATTTACAAATATATATATATATATATATATACACACATACATATATACATATACACACATATTGAGTTCCCTAACCCCCAGTATCTCAGAATGTGATCGTATTTGGAGATAGGGTCTTTACAGAGGTAATGAAGCTAAAATGAAGTCATTAAGGTGGGCTCTAATGCACTATGACTGGTGCCCTTATGAAAAGGTGAAGCTTGGATACAAAGGCACATACAGAGGGAACATGATGTGAACACATAGGGAGAAGACGGTCATCTACAGGCCCAGGAGAGAGACCTGGAACAGATCCTTCTCTCATAGCCCCCAGAAGGCACCAAGCCTGCGACACCTTGATTTTGGACACGGCTGCCAGATTTTCTGTTGTTCAAGTCACCCAGTTTGTGGTACACTGTTATGGCAGCCCAAGCAAACCAATACACTACCATAAAAACTACCACAAATTTAGCAGCTTAAAACAACACATATTTGTTCTCTCACACTTCTGTCAAAGGCTGGTTATGAATCTCACCAGCGTAAAATCAAGGTATCAGCAGGGCTTTCTGGAATCTCTATGGAAGAATCTGTTTTCTTGCTCATTCAGGTTGTCGGCAGTATTCAGTTCCTTGTGGCTGGAGCATTAAGGTCCCCATTTCCTTACTGACTGTCAGCTGAGGGCTGTTCCCAGCTTCTGGAGGCCGACTGCATGCCTTTGCCCATGACTCCTTTGCTCCAACTTCAAGACCAGCAGTGGCAGGTTGAGTCCTTCTCACAACTTGACTCTCTCCTGCCTCTCCTTCCCTTACCTGCTCTTCTGCCTTCCTTTTACGTTTAAGGGTCCATGCAATTTCACTGAGCCCACTCAAGATAATCTGGAATAATATCCCTAAATTAAGAATTAATCTTAATTCTATCTGCAAAGTTTCTTTTACCATGCAAACACAGGTTCCAGATGTGGACAACTTGGGAAGGGGGCCGTTATTTTGCCTACTGCATGATGACATCAATACATTTAGTTATTTGCTTTGTCCAACAATATGCATAGAATAGTTTTAGGATTCCAATAGCATTATAATTATTAACAAATAACCAACTAAGTAAAATTAAAATTTCTTTGAAGTCCTTTTTATCCCTACACTGAGAAACTGCACATAGAGCACTATGTTCAGAATTTTACTTGAATCCTTTTCTCAGTGTGGTTAGATTGTCAATTTTTTTTTTTGTGGTACGCAGGCCTCTCACTTTTGTGGCCTCTCCCGTTGTGGAGCACAGGCTCTGGACGCGCAGGCTCAGCGGCCATGGCTCACAGGCCCAGACGCTCTGCGGCATGTGGGATCTTCCCGGACCGGGGCATGAACCCGTGTCCCCTGCATCGGCAGGCGGACTCTCAACCACTGCGCCACCAGGGAAGCCCTAGATTGTCAATTTGATAAACAATTTGATGCATTTGTTTCTGTTTGTATTAAAATGTAAAGTTTATTTTATTTTTTATCTTTTCACACAATTTTATTTTGTGAATAAGTAAAACATTTATACCACTTAGAAGCCAAAACTATTCGGAAAGATATACCTAGAGAAGGCTCATTTGCATCCCTAATCCAACTCCTAAATTCCAAGGACTGGTGTGCTGGGAGCCGGCTTCTCTGATTGCTGTCACTGATGCTACGTAAGTCAAATCTTTGACACATTGATAGCAAATATCCAAGTACAAATCCATCATCATTTTCATCAATTACAACCACTTATTGCAGATCAATTACTGAGAACAAAAAAGAACAGAGCAGTCCCTGTCCCAAGGTATGAGAGTCTCCTTGAATAGACCTGGAATGCTGCAGAACAGGTGAGGGAGGCTCAGTACCTGATGAAAGGTTTAACTACATGGAGGTTAGGGCCTCAGGATGATCCCCCATTGATTAGGGTCCTGGAGAAAGGCTTCATGGAGGACTTGATTCAGAGCACTTTAAGAAAGGAAAATGGCATGAGCAAAGGCAAAGAGGTATGTTCCAGACTGGGGAACAATTAGCCAACCAGCTTGGAGGAGTGGAACAAACACTTGAGCTGGAACTTGGTAAAAGGCATCCAGGTTCAAATGCTGCCATGTGACCATAGGCAAGTCATCACTCAACCTTTACATTTCTCAGTTTCCTCAACTAAAAATGGAAATAAGGCTAAGTAGTAAGCCATTCTCAGAATAATTTGATAGTAACAGAGTTTCTTTATGGATATACTGGGGGTGGGGAGCATGGAGCTGGAGAATCAGGTCTGAAGCAGATAACGAAGGACCTTCATTACCAGGCTAAGAAGTTTTAATTCTATATTATAGGAGCCAGTGGGAGGATTTTCTTTTCATAAGTAATAAATGAATTTATTGTTTTTAAACAATATAAACTGTGGTTAATAATATGATAGATATTTATTTCTGCAAATTATTGGGTTGGCTAAAAAATTCATTCAGGTTTTTCTGTAAGATCTTATGGAAAAACCCGAATGAGCTTTTTGTCCAACCCAATACTTTTTAAAAAAATTAAGCCATATGTACTAATGATATTTCCATGCTAATACTTTTCCTCCTTAACCAATGCATAAGTATTTCACAGGATAAATTAATAAAACCTATTTAGCAGTTTCCCTACTGAATACATAGGGGGGGTTTTGTTTGCTTTTTAAAGATTTTTTTGATGTGGACCATTCTTAAAGTCTTTATTGAATTTGTTACAATATTGTTTCTGTTCTATGTTTTGGTTTTTTGGCTGCGAGGCATATGGGATCTTAGCTCCCTGACCAGAGATCAAACCTGCACCCTCTGCATTTGAAGGTGAAGTCTTAACCACTGGACCACCAGGGAAGTCCCCATAGGTTGTTTTTAATTTTACAACATTACAAATAAGGTAGTAATGTATATCATTGTACAGTAACCCTTGTGCCCTTGTTCACACAAAGGTACCTCCTTAGGAAGGGTATTTCTTGTAGTGGCTCTGAAATCTCAACATGCATCAGAATCACCTCTCCAGGTGATTTGTTGAACCACAGATCCTGGATGCCACTCCCACAGTTTCTGATTTAGTAGCTTAGGGGTTGCACCTGAAAATTGCTCAGGTGATGCTACTGTTGTTGGCCTAGCTCAAACTTTGAGAACTGTCTTTCTATACGATTGATTCCTAAAATTAGAGTTGTTGGGTAAAAGCATATGCAAATTTTTCACTTTAATGAATCCTGCACATTATCTTCCACAAAAATTGTATCAGTTTACTTCCCCACCTACAGTGCATGAGCATGCCCTTTCTCACACCCCTGGAAACACAGGCTATTGTAACTCTTTTACTTTTTTTGCTAATTGAATGGTAAAAAAATAGAATCTTGGGAGATAAGATTGATGTTTTTTAAGGGTACAAACTTACAATGAGTAGCAAATAAGCCATAGTGATCAAATGCAAGTATAGTGAATATAGACAACAATATTGTACTATAATTATGTAATGATAAATATAGCTACAAAGGCAATCATACTACAATATATAAATGTATCAAAGTAACATGTTTTAAATTTACACAATGTTATGTCAAATATATTCAATTTAAAAAAATGGAATAGAATCTCATTATTGTTCTCTTTTACACTATCCTGAATACCTTTTCATTATTTTTTACTGTAACTTCTAGTTTTTTATCTTATAAGAATAATGTTTATTGCCAAAAATTTAAAAGCTCTGAATAAGCAAAAAGAAAATAAAGTCATCCATGATTCCACCACACATAGATCACCCATAGTAACACCGGGTGTATTTTGTAACTTTTTTTTTTCATTTAATAACATACTGTGATCATTTTTTCCATATCATGTCATTAACTGTTCTTCTCCAACATCAGCCTAAATGGATGCATCATACCAATGGAATGTTTCTGAATGGGAACTGACACTTACAAAATGACTCTGGGCAGACTGATCTAGGAGCAAGATTTAGAATGGGAAAAGCCTGGAGGCAAGGAGAAGTTAGGAAATTATTGAAATAATACAGGAGAGTGGTGACAGTGCAATTAGACGACAAGGAATGAATACAGGAAACATTAGGAAGAAAGAGTCAACAATCTTGTGAGCATCCATGGTGGAGTGTGAGGAACAATTCAAAGCTAAATCCAGCAGGAGTACCCTGGTTTCAGAATCATAAACTTGAGATGCCTTGAAAGGGACAGAGATCATCTTTCCTATCTTTGATCCATTAATTTATCTCAGTGTAAAGGTTTAGGGGATGGAAGTTAACTTTATAGAGGACGAACTTCATTTAGGAGTGCAGCAGTCTTGAAATCCCAGAGCCCAGTCTTCACGCCTCATTTCAATGCAGAGAATAATTATTTGAGAGACTATGGTGAGGTGGAAAGACCACATTCTTGAGTATTAAAAGGAGGGCATAGGGCTTCCCTGGTGGCGCAGTGGTTGACAGTCCGCCTGCCGATGCAGGGGACACGGGTTCGTGTCCCGGTCCGGGAAGATCCCACATGCCGCGGAGCGGCTGCACCCGTGAGCCATGGCCGCTGAGCCTGCGCGTCCGGAGCCTGTGCTCCGCAACGGGAGAGGCCACAACAGTGAGAGGCCCGCATACTGCAAAAAAAAAAAAAAAAAAAGAGGGCATTGTGCAGCATCTTAACCTCCTTGAATTTTTTTGTCTGTAAAATGAGAATGATAATATTTACTTCATTGAGTTGTCAGAATTAAAAGAGAGGATATATGTGAAATGCTGGTCCACAGCCAGCAAATGTTTAAGAAGTGGTGGTTTCTTTCATCACTGTAAGAATAGCAATAATGTGAAGTAACAACATCCCTATAAATTACCCCACAACTTGGCTCCTAAATGAAGGAGTGTTCGTGGACAACCTAGGCAAGTCTGTTGGACAATGAAATGAAACTCATCAATGAAATGAAGTTAACTCTGAAACAGTCCCTTTTGTAAGTAGCCGTCTGCAGTGGCATGCAGAGTGGGCTGCGGCTTACCTCTTGAGCTGAAGCTCTGGGGATGTGCTGTGGGGTGGCTGGAGATATTCCGTGTGTGCTGGATTCCTCCAGAGGTTGCCTGAGAACACTGCAGAGATGTGCACAACAGAAGCAATGAGGAGTTTAAATCAATACTGACAGACTTGGTCCTTTTTCTTCTCTCCTTCCCCTTCTACCAGCTCACAAGGAACTCAGGCTCAATATTTAGCTCTAGCCTCAGGGTACGGGTGCTGATTGTAATAAGTCTGCAGGCAAATCAATCTCTCTCAGTTGTGATCTCCCTTCCTTAATGTGGGGATGTTACTTCCTAGAGTAAGTCTGAGAAGCAAATGGGGTATTGCATTTGAAAGTGCTTAGCAGGGTATCCAAGCGGAGTGGACACTTACTGTTGAGTTTCTTCTGGGAACCTCTCTAAGGCTACCTCTCTATAGGCCAGCAGTAAGTAAACCATGCCAGAAAATGTAGCTGTTTCAGCTGCTTGGCAACCACTTAGTGTATGATTAACAGAGGCACCAGAAAAGCCATCACCATCCCCGCTCCCCAACCGCCCCCCCCAGCAAACTCTCTGACATAGCAAGAAACACGAAATATCTACCCTCCTAACTTAACTCTTGTCCCTCGAGGTTGAGGAAAAGAAAACTTAAACTCAATCATCAACACCCCATTTGCCTTAGGTGACATGAAACGCATTTCTGCATGGCAGTCAACAAATGTTTCACCAGAGAATGTGGTGCTCTGCCAGAGAAAGTGAACCAACATTGATGCATCCACTATCTACTCCTATAGGTCAAGCCCTCTTATATGAGCTGTATAATCTTATTTACACAAGCCCACAGGCATTATTATACTAATTTATCAGATGAGGAAACAAAGAATCAGAAAGATTGAGATGCACAGCATAATAGGTGGTAGCTACCTCTCCCTTTTCCATATTTCTTTTAATTTAGTTTCCCAACATATATTCCTATCATCTTGGTTACTTTACAGACCAACAGTCTTCCAGCCCACGTGAAAGAAGAAGCAATAAAGACCATATTTCCATCTTTGGATCTGTCCAGTTTCATCCAATCCTAAACTAGTCACAAGTTAAATTCCACACATGCAGTGTTAAACTCTACTATCCACTATAGTATTAAACTCTGTAGCTTTACTATGTACTATCAAGCCTACATTGATGAGACACTGAACAGGAGAGAATTAAATTTTTAAGTTAAAACCTGACTTGTTTACTCACTTGCTAAAAACAAATTTTCATACAGGATGAACCAGTTCCTGAATTTTTTTTCTTAAAAGACCATTATGTTTTTAAGATGAAATGAATGGAAATGTGCTGTTTCCTGCTGCCCTGTCTCCCTGCTCCTTTTCTCTTTCTCACCGTGTGTGCGTCTGTCACGGGTTTCTTCTGTCCAGAGATGCTCACAGCTGTTTCCCTTCCTCTGTCTTAAGCTCTCTAGGGCAGCTTTCATTCTTCTACCTCAGCACGCCTGGGGCCACGTGGAAACTCCCCCACGGTATGATTGCTTCCACACTTTTCTAGGCTTTAAAGAGTATCAGCTGAGAACAGCTTATTGATCCCAAGTGGGGAATCCTCCCTGGCAGAGCAATTTGCAGTTGATGAAGGAATGTTAAGGCAGCCTTTTCTTCTGGCCCCCACCTCCACACCCCACCTGCAGGCTGACACCCTCCAGCCCAGAGCTCATCCTAGCTAGTGCCTCCTTTTCTAAGTATTTCTGTGGAAGCTGACTTTTCTTTTTCAAACACTGATCAATTTTTTTCTTATCGAAGTATAGCTGATTTAAAAGATTGTTAATTTTAGACATACAGCAAAGTGACTCATTTATTTTTTCATATTATATTCCATTATAGGTTATTACAAGATATTGAATATAATTCCGTGTGCTATATATAGTAAATCCTTGTTGCTTATCTATTTTATGTATAGTAGTTTGTATCTATTAATCCCATACTCCCAATTTGTCCCTCCCTCTCTCCCTCCCTCCCTCTCCCCTTTGGTAACCATAAGTTTATTTTCTATGTCTGTGAGTCTGCTTCTGTCTTGTATAGAAATTCATTTGTACTATTTTTAGATTCTACATATAAGTGATATCATATAGTATCGCAATATTTATCTTTCTCTCTGACACTTCACTAAGTGTAATATTCTGTAGGTCCGTCCATGTTGCTGCAAATGGCAATATTTCATTCTTTTTTACAAATGAGTAATATTCCATACACACACACACACACACACACACATCTTCTTAAGCCAATTGTCTGTCGATGGGTATTTAGGTTGTTTCCATGTCTTGGCTATGGTAAATAGCAGACACTGATCATTTGAACCACATGATCATTCCAGTTTTAAATTAGACCTCTATCTAGTTTAGAAGTTTATTTTGAAACCCAAATATGGAGAAAATCCGTTGCTTCCCAAGTGCTTAAGTCCCAGGAGACATGGATTATACATGCTCAGGTAGCATCATACCTTCTGCTACCCACCAACAGAAAGGCGGTGGCGGGGCTGTTGAACATGTTATTCTCGGTTAACAGGGACCTGCTGTGGTCTTGTCAGTGCTCAGCACCGAGTGAAGGAACGAGGAAGGTAGCAAGCAGTGTTGGAGTGCTCACTTTGCTCCAGGCACTATGCTAGTCATGGTCAAATATGGGGTTTTATTAATCCTGTCCATAACCTCTCTAGAAGATTCAGCCTCACACTCCTAGAAAATGAAGACTTTCCAAGGACCTTTCTCGTATCATCACTATTTTATCAATGAAAAAACTGAGCTCAGAGAAGTTAAATGGTTTGCACAAGCCCACGCAGCAAACAAGTGGCAGCAACACAGGCAACCCAGTCCTCTGCCTCCAGGTTCAATGCTCTTTCCGTTTCTCCACCACTGGCAAGGGTTCCACTGACTCAAAATTCACACTGGAGATAAAGTCAGTGTGTTGGATTTTCCATTTTGGTACTGCGATGTCTGCCATTATTTTATTTGGTCAACATTCCAAAGGTGATGCTCCTTTTCAGCCCAGGTACTGACTATGAATGCAGCTGCCTGGTTTGCAGCCTCAATATTCAAACCCTCTGGATCCCCTTAGCCCACTTTCATAATGACAGGCTTTCCCTTCACAAAATAGAACTTTCATTAAGCAGCAACACTACAGATTTACTTATATTAGCATAAGTTCACATTTTAAAAGGCTAATAAAATTTGGAGCAAGATTTAAAAAAAGAGTTAAAAACAAAGATGAGTTAACCTCTTAAACTTAAACCTTTCCCTCTTTCCATACTCTGCTTCAAAAAGGAGTGGTTAACTGTTCTTTTCAGCTAGAGTATTAACGTCATAAATTATTCTTCTTCCTGACACTCAGTCTGCCGCAGGATTTTTCCTCTAAGGAAGTATGTCGCTGCTAGTCAACAAGAAAGACTGTTCTTTGCTCTTCAGTGTGTGCCCTTTCTCCTTTATATAAAAGGCTTTTTGTTATTATTAAAAGTGGAACCAAAAATCCTAACCTATAACAGAATTAAATTTTACAATACATTGAAATAAATCATCATACAGATTTTAGAGACATTATAGAATTCATTCACAAGTATTCAGACCATCTAAAATAGCCTCCCTCCCATGAATGTTTTATCAATACCTCTGTTCCAGTATCTTTTCATCTCTTTGGTGAGTAATTTCTAAAGCATTGTTTACTCACTCTTCCAGAACAATGGCCTCAGAACCAAATGGCAGACCAAAGAATACAGTGAAATCAATAAAGTGTAGTAGGTGGTGCTCAGGGTGAAAACATCTAGAGAAGTGACAAAAGATACACCAATTGGCCAGTCATTCTGCAAGAATTTACTGTGTGCTTGTTTGATCTAGGCTATTTGATTGCAGGACCAGCTAGTTTAAATAAAGAAGGAGATAGTTGTAAGGATATCAAGATCTCAGGTGAATTGGAGCTGGAAATTGGAAGGCCACTGGGGGCTAAGACAGCCCTTCGCCCACCTTGCTCTCTGTGGGACAGCACAGTGAGGCACAACAAGCATGACAGCATAGATAAAACTTTCAAGTCCACGGTCTGCCACTTCCTAATTAATCTGGACAAGTTAACTCTCAATGTTGATTTCCTAATCTGTAGAATGGGGATAATAACTACCTCAAAGGGTTACAGTGAAGATTAGAGACGATGTTTGCCAAGTGTTTGGCACAGGACAGTACTCAGAAAATGCTAGTTTCCTTTTGCCCTCGTTTGTGCGAGGCTGTATACCAAGTTTAGAAGCATCACATCTAAAAACAGTTTTCATGGCACGTGGAAAGCAAACCATTGGCGTTTACACTGCTGAAAAACCAAGAATTCTCTACAACACAGAGAGAAGATATTAAACAAACGGGCACTTTCACAGCATCTCCCTTTTTCTGGCACCAAATAACATTATTAATTAACATTTACACAGTGCTTAACAGTATAGAAACCATTTTTCTCTAATGTCTCCTTCTGTTCTCATAATGACCTTGTAAGGCTGATATACTTATTAGCCTCCTCTTACAGCTGAGGTTAAATAAGCTGGTCAAGGCCACATGGCTTATAATCAACACACTGGGATTCAAGCCTGGTCCTTCAACTCTAAAATCTGTTATGCTTTTCAATGCAGTCGCCAGAATCTAATTAAGTTCAGTATTGACTATTTCAGGAACTGACTACCCAATTTATTATCTGATTCCCCACCCCCTTCCCACCACTGCACAAGGTAAAGTCCGAACAATGTATTATGGCTATTAAAAGGCCTTCACAGCTTGGTTCCAGCTTCTCTTTCCAGCCTGGTAGAGCACATTAACCAAGCACACTGTACTCCCCTGTGCCTCTGTGGGTTTGCTCACCTTTTCCTGTCCTAAAAGTGTCCCTTCTAGTCCAGTGATGTCCCATAAAACTTTCAAGGTCCAGTTCAACTGCTGCTCCCTCTAGAAAGCCTTCCTCTTAGCCCCACGCCAGGCAAAATTATTCCTTCCCTCCTCTGGCTTCCCTAGAGTGTGTTCACACAGCTTCAAACTAGAGTAACTATAGATGGTGACAGGAACAAAAGTTTTTTCACCTTTGTAT